AGGAAATCCTAGTGCAAATTTATATAGTCAGTAATGAAGAATTGATGGACTTGGCAACATCCACACTCATGTGTCAGGAGACCAATGAAAGGCGTGTTTCTGCTTGAAGCGGCTCTTTTTTTATTAACTTCAAGAAACTGTATAATACAACTTAGAATACAGTAAAAGATAACAGTTTTTTTTACACAATAATCACATTACATACACAAGATAAAGAGCAACAATAGAACACAATTTATAAAAGAATAAAAAATAATATAAAAATGTAAAAAGTTAAAAGAAAAAACATAAATATTCAAGTAGCATGAAAGATCTCATCATATTTGCTCAAGAAAGAAGCACATTTCTGATTTTCAATTAATCTAAGAGATTTAATTAAATGTTCTATTTCACACAGGAAGTCTATAAAGATTGGATTTTTTTAAGGAATCTCTGTTTGTGAAAGTAAAATTTCCCAGCAAGTTTAAGAAAGTTCACAGTGGCTTCTAGATGTGTTTTGGTTTTCAAAATAACAAATAGCATCCTTAAGGTACAAATTACCACTCATATTAACCTTGGAAAAACAATATGAACTTAAATCATCCTAAAACAGTGATGATACATCGCAAGAAAAAAAGAAGAGACAAATGTCTTCACACTCATTCTTACAAAATGAGCAAATATCAGTAACATCACAATATTTGGATAAAGGTGCATTACAATAAAATTTTAAAGTGCACCTCTTTCATTTTATTAGGAATGCAGAATTTATATGGTGATAATCATGTTTCCCTCCATTGAATATTAACAATAATGGAACCTTTAAACTTTCCTCTAGGAGTGATTGCGTTATGTGACTGCGACACTTGATGTATAAACTTATTATTGCTTTATTTACTAAGACTAGATCTTCCTCCTAGGTGTAACTGTGACAATTGTTTGGAAGCTGCGTCATAACTAAGAGCTGCTTTCATCAGACATAGTAGTCCACTAGTTATAGCCTTTATAATAAAGCGAACAGGGAATTGATAAATGTTTATAAAACTCTCATAAGTTAAAAGATCCCCGTTACTGTTAAAAAGATCAGAAACAAAAATAATGTTTTTGTTAAACTATTTATCCCAGAAAAAAGATTTATTATTTATCTTAATGTCTACATTATTGCATGAAAGGGTTTTGTGAGGTGAGAATTTGTGTCTGTAAGTCAGTTTCCAGGCTAAAAGAGCTTGTTGATGGAATTGAGCTAATTTAATAGGTAATTTACCAACGGAGTAATTGCATTTCATTAAAAAAAGAAAGGCCACCAATCTCTTTAAATACATTGTTTGGAATAAAAATACCACATAGAGTCTGAACCAAGCAAGCATCTCTTCAGCCAATTGATTTTAAAAGTATTATTGGTGTCATCAAAATTTAGGACTTTGTAGCGGCTACATGCTGAGAGGCTAAACCAGAGACATGATTTGTGACGCAAACATCAAATGTAAACAAGGCAAGAAGTCGTTCCAATTTCTTCACTCGTTTATTTTCCAATATAAAACATACCTTGATATTTTGACAGTGTAGAATTTGATTTGGGCTTCTGTTTGAGTTTAGGTTTGGGCTTAAGTTTGGTCAACAAAGAGTACCGCGTCCCCGTTCACCCCCTCTTTCTCTCCTCCCCAAGCTGTGCATGAACAGGTGCCACCTATATGCGCACTACGTAACCCAGGTGACCCTCCACCACAATCATGTGACACAGGTTAACCATTCCATGTCTACTACAGACTTCAAGACCCCCCTCACTCCCTTCAATTTGTGAGGCTTATTATTCCAAAATAAAACCAAGAAAAATTTTGTCCATTTTTTTTAGAGGTGTGATTATCTACTGTAAGGATCCAAAATATCAGACCCTGAGAACTGTTATGGAATTTCATGAGACAAGATGCAATGTTCCAATGCACTTTCTAATCTGGGAAGTGATGAAGAAACCAGCTGTTCCACTGTTCTATTCAAATCACTGTTGACAATGCAAACACAGGCTGGAGAAACAGAGCCACACGACATCAGGGAAGAATGCAGGAATGCATCCTTTACTTTCACCCCAAGCCCCCCTTCTTGACCTTTAAGCGACTTGCTGATTAGAGCACATTTTACATCAAATGTCCAAGGTTTTAATATGATGTGTCTTGCAGCTCTATATTCATGTTTGGTATCGTTTTAAATGTCTCTGTGTGATTGGTAAAGTGGTGTTAATTTTACAGTAATATTTTACTGGTATATGTTGATTTGGTTTTTGACTTACATAAGATCTTGATAAGATGCTCTCCCTCCTCAGAGATGGTAAAGTCCTCAAATTCACCAGGCCAGGGTTTCTGTGACACTTCTAAATGGAACGTAAATGGAAAAAAACTAATTTAGAGGTCTTTAGAATTGCGTACAAAGACAGTATGTCCAGCTATAGGAGGGCTCTAAAATCTGCCAGGACCGATCTGCGCAAACTGATAGAAAATAATCATAACAATCCTAGATTTTTATTTAACCATCTCTAAATTAGCAAATAATCGGTCATCCTTGGAACAAACTACTCCACCGCAAATTAGTAGTGATGACTTCATGAATTTTTTCAGTAATAAAATAGAAGGCTTTAGACAGAAAATAGGAGATGCCAAACTTTCTGCACCGGCTTATACTCCAAATCCTGTAAATATTTCATTAAATCATAATAATAACCTACACTGCTTCAAAATCATAGAACATGAAGAGTTAGTAAAAATTATAAATAGCTCTAAACCAGCTACGTGTATGCTGGACTCAATTCCAACAAAATTACTGAAAGAGCTGTTACCTGCTATAGGAGAACCTCTTCTTAACATTATCAACTCTTCTTTATTGTACAAAAGATTGTTTAATTATTTTGTTTTCTAACTGTACATTTAGTCTTTACCTGTTTTGTTATTATGTGGGCGTGGTTAAAAGGTCCGCTCGCGAGTTTAATGAATAAAGTGAAAGTGTTCGACACAGTAATGAAAGAGGAACAGAGAGAAAGGCAGGTGCGCATCGTGATGCTCAGTCGCTAGTTTAGAGAGTTAAAGCCAACAAACTGTTAGGATTGCAATCACAGCATCCTCAGAGAAGGCAGTTTGACTGAATCCTATCAGATGACAGGAAGATGTGGTGTGATTACTTCAGAGTTTGACAGAACTTTATGATGTGCGTCATTGAAGAAACGTGAGTGTTCATAGTTCATTATTAAAAACTTTAATTATCATTCGATGTATATATACATGCATCTATACGCATATTTATAGTTTGCAACTGTATTAGAATGACACGTTTATTATATTATGTGTTCGTGATCTTTCACGTGTTTATTCACGTGTAGTAATAATGACGCAGCATTTTTCCGTGAGTAGTTTGAGGACTAATTAAACCTTTTTTTCTTTATTATAGAACCACACACATACATACAACATCACACGCTACTGCATGAACATTTACAGTAACATCTAACTTAATCTGATCACTTGCTTTTACACAATCACTCATTATACATTATACATTCATTGCAAATGAAGATCCCGGCAAATGTTGCACACTGGCTGATGACATCACTACTATTGATCGACTGCTGAAGTGATCGCTGGACCTTCTGTTTATGAGGTGGATTTTTCTGTGAAACTATTGGGACTTATTTCACCATATTACAAGTGATCGCTGGACCTTTCTGTTTATAAGTCCTCTGAAACTATTGGGATTTATTTCCCCACTATATTACAACCTTACAGTACTGTAATTATTGTCATCTTATATGATAATTGTTTTCATTTACGTGGGCCTACGCTATTTTATTTGATTTGTATTGTGATGATTATGTTTACACACTAATCATAAAGAAATTGATACATTGTTTGAACAAAATAATTTGTGTATGATCTCTTTACTCTTCTCCTATTCTTTGGACATCAATTGGATAATATATCCTTTAAGGTGGTATAGAACCGTATAGTAATCAGTGCTTTCATACAGGCTTCAATACATTTAATGGTCCTTCGAGCCGGATATTTATTACTACCTTAACAATGATGTCCAGGAATAGGACAGGAGTTTCAGAGCCAGATGTTATACGTCAGCGTAGAATTACTAGACCACCAGCATATCTACGTGATTATGAAGTAGGTTACACTAGCAAACATCTTACATTTGCAGATGAGCGGTCAGAAATGCTTACATGTATACGTGAAATGAGGGAAGAGAATATGCAGTTGAGGCAGGAGGTGAGACGTATATCAGATGTGATTGCTAATTCTCCAGTTTTAGCTTCTCAGGATCCAGTAGCTGTGCAGCAGTCTAGAGTTAAAGAGGCAGGAGTGTCATCCACACCAAAGTCTACAGGCATGCTGGTGTCATTTCAGGATTATGAGAATCCTCGCCAGATAGAACATACCCCTTTGGTGCCACCCAGAGATGAATCCCTCCTCGCAGTGCAGGATCGTGACCGAGAGCTTATTGAGGAGCTAACAGAGAGTCTAAAGAGAGTAGGCAGGTTAAGTGATAGTCCGCCTGGTTCAGGTATATCAACACCCTCTTATCATGACCCACATAATAGCAATAGCAATTCACCTCAACGTAATAACGCTAGTGATGCTAATATCCCTGTTCGACAACATAATCTGACTAGATTCCATTATTGTAATACTGATGATTCTCCAGTGTTGCAGTCCAGCATACCACCTTCTGATGCTTATCGCACAACAACTGATCCTTACTATCATTGTGTGAATGACAGGACGCATTACTTATCAAAGAATGCCAGAGATCATCTTGACTACTTTTCATTTGATGGGAAGCAAGAGTATAATAGAGAGAATAGACATTTCCTACACTCAAAAAAATGAACTTTCCCTATTGTTAGTTTTACTAAACCCATCCTTGTTCACATTACATAAAACATAATAGTAATTAAATTAACATAAGTTTACCATGTTATTTCTACAAAAATGTAGTACTGTAGGCTTTACTTAGTAAGGGTTTGACAGGCCAACTTAACATTGTTGAGTAAAACGCAAAAACCTCTTAAGATTGGATATTTGCTGATACCATAGCTGCCTACCTGGAGGCGGAGCAACGGAACAGTCAGAGAGAGGAACATGTGAAGCACATGAGGAGGAGAAGATGGTGGCTTTGTCAGGTATGAGTATTTTATCAATCTTTAGAGTTAAATATCACCAGGAAAAGTGATGTGAGTGTTCACAGAATTATGTTAATTTATTATATCAGTGTATTTTGGAGTCTTTTGAATTTTAGCATTTTTAGCCTGTTATACTGACTCATGTTTCTCAGGGAAAGCATGTGGCAGTTCAAATACTGCAAAATAACCATCACAAATAGATCACAGTTGTTGAAACACTATAGATTAGTGCATAGACATTGTGGTCTTGTTATTAGTTTTTCATGCACTTATTCTGACTATCGCTGTAGATTTAAAACGTGAAGTGCACTACACAGCCATCTTAATTGTAGCCATGCAAAGGAGAACACGGGGTTACCTGCAAGTGTAACCACATTCAATTGCCATGTGTGTTCTGGCAGCCATATAGACTCAGAATGGGAGTACTTTAGTCATATCTATAAGAACCTGAAAACAATGAGACAGTACTTTGTTTGAAAGCTATTCTTACTATAATCCTGTGTCTTAAATTTACAGATTGCTGCTGAATTCAGTCGAATCGCTACTGTCCCACTAATTCAAACATTTTTCAAAACTGCATGGTTCCACCAGCAAGCTGGACAGCATTTACCGTACAAAAGAAGAAATTGCAAAATGGAAAATTTGAAAACTGATGGCTACCATCGACAAGGTTTGTTATCTGTATTTATGATGCTTGTAAATAATTTCCACTTTAGTATGGTGTTTTTTTCATATACTTAATGTCTCTTCTACAGAGTGATGCCATCTCAACTTGGAGAGCTTGCATTCTCAGAGCACTTTCTGTGTATCTTAATGAAGACTATTAAAACCTCATGAAGGAGTATACAGTAAGTATAGTTCTCAGTCAGTTAATATTTAAAATGCCATCACATAAATTCACATAATATAGTCAAGGAATATCAATACACAAAGTATATTTACCTTGGGGTTGTCAAAAGAACAGACTTCAGCACCAGTCTGCACTGAAATAAAAAATTGTTATGATGCTAGCATTTTTCTGGGGAAATTTTGAGCACAGTCAAGCAGATTCTCAAGCAGATTTGTCTAGGCAGATTAAGGTGGCAATTATCAGTGTTGCCAATCACAGTCACATCTGTTGAGCACAATAACACTGGCCAATTGAATTTCTTTGAAAGAATGATGGTTTCTTCACATTTTTTAAAATTCAGTACAGAAGCCTGTGCTTTTGACCACCCTAACAAACACAGTAAAGTAGTTTTGTAAGTCACTGTAGGTGCGTGATGTGAAAGATTAAAGAATGGACAGTTGATACAAAATTCTCTACATTTACAATCTGTATTTTTGATGTAATTAAACTGACTGATCAGTGATACTGTTTTTGTGTTTTGTAGGAGACAGACTTTGAGAGAGACATGGCCAATACTGTCATTAAAATCTACACCGTTACGCCTGAAGTTGTAGAAGTCTGTGACCCACCATCAGTTGCTGGACTGATTGTTGAGGGAGTGAAAGTGCTTCAGAACCTTGGCGATGTCACCAAGGCTTGTTCTCTTTCTTTGAGAGTCAAGTACAGCGTGAATCTCAGTAATCCTTCAGACCTGAAATGCACTTTTTGAGTTTTTCAGAAAGTGTTGCTGGGACTTGCACATAAACTGTCACACAAAATACAAGTTCTCAAAAACAAACTTGTTGGCTGAGTCAGTACATCATTCTGGACAAATGAAAGAAATAGAGGAAGAAGCTTTTTTGAGACACTTAAATTTTTCTAGTTTTTTAAATTAAGGGCCAATTTTAATGTTATCTTTGTCAATGGCACCAAAGTTTTAAATGGAGTTCTACAACTTTAAATGGTTATAATTGTTTGATTATTTACAAAGATTCAGATTTTCAGTTTTATTCTTTTCTTTGCTTTTTAAAATTCTTATGCTGCTTGTCTTAAACTTTCCTTTTCTTTTTCAGAGTAAAATTTATTACTTGCAGTTGCACATATTGAAAGAACATTTTGGTCAATAGTAAAACTTCTTTTATAAATTTTTTTATGTTTTTTTTTAAAAAAGCTGTTGTTTTGTGGTATTTTCATAAATAAAGGTCAGTTGTATACTTTAACAATATATTAAACCTTTTGAAATATCAGCAATTGAGCATTGTAGCATTTTGTGACACTCTGGAAAAAAATGTCACATTACTTTTGTAAATTTGCTCTTATACATTTTTCTTCCAGTATTTGAAGTAGCACATTGTAAGAATGTTCACTATTGACCAAAATGTTGCTTTTGCATTTTTTTCTTTCTTTTTGTACTTTTATTTGAATTGTTTGAGAATGTTTACAAAAATAGAGGCCAGTTTTAATGTTACTCTCACTATAGATTGTAAAGATCAGAAATGGATTTTAGCAGTATTTTAACATTCCATGTACATCATTTTTCAAAGTAAGATTATTTCAGATTGTTAAAGCCAGTTGCACTTTAAAAGACCCTGTAAAAGTTAACTGAAAGCATCTGATGTTTTAATGTGTTTTTTCAAAAGAAATTGAAATTGTTTTATGGGTTTTTAGCAGTTGTATGTTGCAAAACATTGCAAAGAAAATAAATTCATTTTGTTTCTAAAAATATGTTTGATTATTTAAGTTTTACACTTGTAGAGCACATACATTAAAAGTGAAATATATAAAAAATAAAGTGTTCACCTTACATACTAAAAGTTCATAATTCTAACATAACATTACTAAGTTAAATATACATAAAACTAAAATGCAATAATGACACATCTAAATGGATTGAATGAACTAAGAAATATTTTGTAAACTTTACCTGGATTTCTTTAGTTCATTTAACTATATTGTTACTTGTAGAAACTACTCAACACAGTTACGTGGAACCACTTGACACTCTTTTTTTATGTAAGTCCAACAAATCATTTTTTTGAGTGTATCACCTGGTAGTGCATACAATCCATACTCTGTGCCTCCACATGCTTTATATACTCAACCTGTACAATATCGTGGCCCTACTCCTACCATTCCGAATTTTAGTAGAGATGACCCCCGCGAGTTTGCTCATCTTAAACTTGCATTAGACAATGTTCTTCCCTATGATGCTTCAGAGGCATTCAAGTTTCAAATACTTGTGGACCATCTTAAGCTGGAAGATGCTTTGCTTGTAGCTGACTCCTATAGTCACAGCCGTACTCCATTCAGCGACACAATGAGAGCGCTTACTGATATGTATGGGCAGCCACATCAATTAGCCTTGCAAAGGATTACAAATTTGATGGAAGGGCCAAACATTAGGAGCGGAGACGTTAAGTCATTTAAATCATTTGCTCTACGTGTCCGAGCATTGGTTGGAATGTTAAACCAGTTAGGTAGCACAGGTTGGACGGAACTAAAATGTGGTTCACATGTATCTCGACTCTTAGCCAAGTTGCCACACGACCTAAGAGCTAACTTCAAGAGATTTATTAACCCCATTCAGACACCGATTCCAACTCTGCTTGAGTTTGCTGACTGGTTGGAGTATGAAGTGCGTGTGCAAGTAGATGGAAATCAGTATGGATCATACCCCGAATATGAAAAACATGTTCCACGTAAAGACAAGCGGCCCAGTTTTATGCCTCGGAAGTTGACTACAGTGCTACATGGAGGAGAACAAAAGGAAGTAGCAGTTGAGAATATAAAGAAGGAGCATGCTCATGTGGAACGGCCACAGGACAAGCCAAAAAAGTACTGTCCTTTCTGTGATTCATTCCAGCACTATATGAATCAATGTTCTAATTTCAAACTTCTCTCCAAGGAGCAGGTAGAAAGTTGGATTAAAGCAGGCAATAGATGCTGGCGTTGTGGACGAGGACATTTATCGTCAAAATGTACGTTGAAAGCCAAGTGCAAGCGATGCGACAGAAGGCATCTTGATGTCCTACATGAGGTGAATGCTAGTGCATACACAATGATTAAAAGTAATCAGAAGATTCCTCAGAAAAGTACAGATTCAGAAGGGCCTACCTCTCAGACATTATACTTGGATCGCCCTACTTGTGGTAAACAAGTGCTGTTGAAACTGATCCGAGTTATTATTCAGAGTGGTAATAAGTCACTAGAGACATATGCAGTTCTTGACGACGGGTCAGAACGCACTATTCTAATGTATGAAGCCACTCAACGTCTAGGTCTTCAAGGAGACAGGGAAGACCTGGCTCTTCGGACTGTGAAACAGGAGGCTCAGACCATACAGGGAAAAGTTGTTTCCTTTTCCATTGCTCCCTTTTCATTCCCTGATCGATCGTATCAAATAAAGGGTGCCTTTACAGCCAAAGAACTCGCATTGGTCCAGCATACATACCCAATTTCTGACCTCCAGAAAAAATACCGACATCTACGTGACTTACCCTTGCATGAGATCAACAAAGCTCAGCCTCTTGTTCTTATTGGGTCAGACTATCCGCACTTGATTACCCCATTGGAGCCCGTACGTTTGGGGCCCCCTGGAGGTCCTGCTGCTGTCCATACCAAGCTTGGCTGGACTTTACAAGGTCCTTCAAGTCTTCCCAAATCTTGTTTACGTCCTCAGGAATGTCTCTTCATTTCTTGCCTTTCTCCTGAAGCTGAATTATTGCGACAGGTTGAAAATCTTTGGAAGTTGGATATCCTTCCTTACCGCTCAGAGAAGATTATCAGCCGATCTCGTCAGGATGCAGAAGCAATTCGTATCTTAGAAGAAAAAACAATCAGGATCGAGGTACAGGATGTAAAGAGATATGCCACTCCTTTACTCTGGAAGCAGTTACCCCCCCCCTTTGAATGCACCTCAGGAAGCGGTCATGGGTCTGTTATGTAGCACTGAACGAAAACTGTCTAAAGAGCCAGAGAAAGCTGAATCCTATGATTTCGAGATTCAGAAACTACTGCAGTCGGGTTATGTCACTCAGCTGACACCTGCAGAAAGTGAATCAAGTGCAAAGTCGTGGTACATACCACACCACATGGTTCAACATAACAGAAAGAACCGTATTGTTTTCAATTGCTCCTTTGAATACAAGGGTCAATCCTTGAACGAATATCTTCTGCCTGGCCCTACTTTAGGCTCAAGTCTCTTAGGAGTCCTTCTTCGCTTTCGTGAATATCCCGTAGCTATCTGTAGTGACGTGAAGGGCATGTTCCACCAGGTCCGCCTGCTTGATGAGGACAAGCCATTTTTACGATTCCTGTGGCGACAGGGAAAAACATCTGAGATGCCAGTCGTGCATCAATGGGAAGTCCTGCCATTTGGCACTGCTTGCAGTCCCTGTTGTGCAGTTTTTGCACTCCAATCTCATGTAAAGGGGGATCTTGATCCTACTGATGAGGTGCGTAAAACAGTCGAGCGAAATTTCTATGTAGACAATTGTCTAAGCAGTGTTCCAACTGAATCTCAAGCCAAAAATCTAGTGAACCGACTGCAATGTCATCTTATGGATGGTGGATTTGAGCTCAGACAGTGGGCATGTAACATCCCTGAGGTGATTCAGCACCTTCCTAATGACTTAAAGTCCAAGAGTGGGGAGATATGGCTCAGTCAGGGAATAGATAACCCACAGGAAAATGCCCTTGGATTGATATGGCATTGCAAAACGGACAACTTAGTATACAAACCTTACCAGCGAGAAGATGGTGAGATTACTATGCGAAAAATCTATCGCACTTTGGCCAAGCTCTATGATCCGCTAGGATATCTCATACCATATACTACAAGAGCTAAAACTGTTGTGCAGTTGTTGTGGGATAAGAAACGTGAATGGGATGATCCCAATCTCCCTGAAGATCTGCTGGCCATTTGGCATCAGTGGGAAAGTGAACTCCCAAACCTGTCTCAAGTATTCTTGCCAAGATGTTACACTTCTCACATTCAATGTACAGTCAAACATCGCTGTGTACATGTATTCTGTGATGCTTCTGAAAGAGCCTATGGTTCTGTTGCATACTTGTGCTCTGAAGACGAACAAGACAATAGACATGTGTCTTTCATTGCGGCAAGATCACGGGTTGCCCCCCGAAAACAGATCTCAATCCCTCGTTTAGAGCTATGTGCTGCACTAACAGGCGCACAGCTTGGAGATGTTCTAAAACGAGAGCTGACCCTAAACATCAATCAATTTGTTTATTGGTCAGATTCCACTACCGTCCTTAACTGGCTACAGTCTGATTCGTGTAGATACCGAGTGTTCGTAGGAGTGAGAGTGACAGAAATTCAGGAACTTTCTGACCCAGGCTCTTGGCGCTACATTGATTCAGCCACAAACCCTGCTGAAGATGTAACTCGTGGGTTGTCACTAATTCAGCTAGCTGAAAATTCAAGATGGAAACTTGGTCCAGACTTCTTGAGGCAGCCTAGTAGCTGTTGGCCAAAATTACCAGTAGGTCCCGCTTCTGAAGAAGATCAGGAGCTTAAGAAATCCATCTTTTGTGGATTAGTGGATGAGATTAAAGAGCAAGATGAGCCTGATGTCCATCAGTTCAGTAGCTATTTTGAGTTCTTAGAGGCTACTGCACGATCCCTTCACGGGGCGGCCGATAGCACATTTTCACCAAGTGCAGATGATTTCAGACAAGCAGAACTGTCTATCCTTAGACAATGTCAGAAACATGACTTCCCAGAAGAATATGCTTTGCTCAGAGAAGGTAAAGCCATTCCCACACGTAGTCGAATACTTAAACTTGCTCCCGAATATGACAGAGACTTGGATTTGATCAGAGTTGGGGGACGACTTCGTAGATGCCCTTACTTGAATGAAGAAGTATTACACCCTATAGTTCTGGCCCCAGACCATCCCGTCGTCAAGCTTCTAATTAAACATTATGATGCACAATTGCATCACCCGGGAGCTGGAAGAGTCTTGGCTGAGATACAACGAAAGTATTGGATTTTGCGTGGAAGAGAGGCGATCAAACGGCATCAGCACAACTGCCTTGACTGCCGGAAATGGAGAGGCAAGCCAGTTGTCCCAAAATTATCAGACCTACCACCATCAAGTCTAAGATTATTCAAACCTCCCTTCTACTCTACTGGAGTAGATTGTTTTGGGCCACTGATGGTGAAAATTGGACGCCGCATAGAGAAAAGGTGGGGCATCATCTACAAGTGCCTCACCACACGAGCTGTGCATCTTGATCTGCTGTATCACATGGACAGTGATTCATTTTTGATGTCTCTGAGGCGCTTCATTGCTCGGAGAGGGAAGCCTCACGAACTCCTTTCCGATCAAGGAACAAATTTTAAGGGTGGTGCTAATGAGTTAGAAGACACCTTCAATCAGATTCAGCCCATCCTTCGAGACATGTTGGCCAAGGACCAAATCAGGTTCCAATTCAACCCTCCCAGTGCCCCTCATTTTGGAGGGTCATGGGAAAGAGAGGTGAGGTCGGTCAAGACTGCTTTAAGAAGCACTTTGGGTGCGCAGACTGTTACCGAAGAGGTATTAAGGACAATTTTGACTGAGGTCGAAAACATTCTTAACTCCAGACCTCTCGGTTACGTCTCGAGCGATATAGCAGATCCCGACCCAGTAACTCCGAACTCCTTACTAATGGGGAGACCTGACTCATCTTTGCCTCAGGTTGTTTATTCACATTCTGAATTGCTCAGTAAGAAAAGATGGCGACACAGCCAGGTCCTTAGTGACCATTTTTGGAAGCATTTTATTCATGACTTTCTGCCATCCTTACAGTCAAGACAAAAGTGGCACAGTGAAAGGCAGAACATTGTGGTTGGTACAGTAGTACTCATTGTTGATGAACAGCTTCCAAGAGCATGCTGGAAAGTTGGTACAGTTTCGTCCGTCATTCCCAGTGCAGATGGTAGGGTCAGAACAGTGACGGTCAAAGTGAAAGATCAGACATACACAAGACCAGTTGTGAAACTAATTGAACTGCCATCTTTACCTGAAGACCTGGAGAATTCATCCTAAACTCAATAATGGCAAATTTAATTAGCAAATTTGAGGGCGGCTGTACAAAAGATTGTTTAATTATTTTGTTTTCTAACTGTACATTTAGTCTTTACCTGTTTTGTTATTATGTGGGCGTGGTTAAAAGGTCCGCTCGCGAGTTTAATGAATAAAGTGAAAGTGTTCGACACAGTAATGAAAGAGGAACAGAGAGAAAGGCAGGTGCGCATCGTGATGCTCAGTCGCTAGTTTAGAGAGTTAAAGCCAACAAACTGTTAGGATTGCAATCACAGCATCCTCAGAGAAGGCAGTTTGACTGAATCCTATCAGATGACAGGAAGATGTGGTGTGATTACTTCAGAGTTTGACAGAACTTTATGATGTGCGTCATTGAAGAAACGTGAGTGTTCATAGTTCATTATTAAAAACTTTAATTATCATTCGATGTATATATACATGCATCTATACGCATATTTATAGTTTGCAACTGTATTAGAATGACACGTTTATTATATTATGTGTTCGTGATCTTTCACGTGTTTATTCACGTGTAGTAATAATGACGCAGCATTTTTCCGTGAGTAGTTTGAGGACTAATTAAACCTTTTTTTCTTTATTATAGAACCACACACATACATACAACATCACACGCTACTGCATGAACATTTACAGTAACATCTAACTTAATCTGATCACTTGCTTTTACACAATCACTCATTATACATTATACATTCATTGCAAATGAAGATCCCGGCAAATGTTGCACACTGGCTGATGACATCACTACTATTGATCGACTGCTGAAGTGATCGCTGGACCTTCTGTTTATGAGGTGGATTTTTCTGTGAAACTATTGGGACTTATTAACAGTTGCTAGGGTGCTGTAAGTGGTTGCTAGGGTGTGGCTAAAACGTTCAAAGATCATCAGTGATTGGCAGATTGGTAGTCTGAGTTAAATGAGCCCAACATTAAGTCTGTATGACAGTCTGACGCAAAGTTATGAGGTCACTAAGTTTGATCCAATGTTAAGTCAATAACATTTGTAGCTCCGCCCTTTTCCGTATCTCATTTGAATTAAAAGTGACAGTCACCAAAACCAAAACCAGTTTCAAAGCATAAAAGGGTCAGTTTCAGGGAGTTATCGAACATTATCTGTGTGATATTTTGGGCCAAAACACACACACACACGCACACTCTTTCTCTCTCTCTCTCTCTCTCTCTCTAAGGACACCAGAGACTTGTAATAAGTGACATAATAGGTTTCTTGCACACTGCTTGTGTGTGTGTGTGTGTGTGTGTATTTCTAAATGTTTATAGTCTACTGATGTACAGACTGTATGTGTGTGTGTGTGTGTGTGTGTGTGTGTGTGTGTGTGTGTGTGTGTGTGTGTGTGTGTGTGCTGTATATTGTCTATGTCAGTGTATTTTGCTCTGTCTGGAGTCTGCAGCTCAGCTTTTCCCTCATCATAACACACGTGCTGCTGCTGCTGCTGCTGATGTGACAGTAAAAGTGGTTTGATGTGAAGAAGCGCTCAATAGGGGACAGTCGACCTTAAGCCCTACACTGCTGCTCACAATCTGCATTATATTGGTGCAGGGTTTGAGGAAGGGTTGCCATATATTGTAAAACTCATCAAGGTTTCCTATAAGCCCATAGCGGACTCTTTCCCTGTGTAATATTTGAGTGAGAGACGTCAACATTAATGAAGGAGAGCTGGAGATTTCTAAGACTTCCTGCCATTCTGTCAATTATTTATTATTTTATTATGATTGCTAAAACTGCTGTTTAATAATTGGAAAATAAAAATAAAAATGTTTAGAGGGTGCAGATTACAGCGTCATGTTAGGACAAGTTCAGTGTTTTGTGTAAATAGTTCTCATTAATTATTATCTCTATATCTGAGTGAATCATTATTGAGTTCATTGGTAGAATCTGATCATGAGTTCATACAGCGACACTCGCGCGCCCTCATGTGGCCAGAGAGGGAATGACACTGTAATCGCTGCACTGTAATGAAGGAGAGCTGGAGATGTTTATGGTGGAATTATGGCGGCTTGAGGAAGCAACAGACTGTTATACTACATAAACTTATTATTCCTCTATCTTCTTCTTCTGAGACTAATTTAATTTCTATATGCATATTCTCCTAAAATGTTCAGTTTTAAAATGGTTTTCTGAAAACTGACTGGGAAAATTCTGGAAAGTGCCATTGACTTAACATTGGACCAAACTTAGTGACTTCATCACTTTGCACCAGACTGTCATACAGACTTAAGATTACGCTCATTTAACTCTACTACCAATCTGCCAATCACTAATGACCTTTCTGCTTATTAGCTACATCCTAGCAACCACTAATGGCACCCTAGCAACTGTTCCATAAACTTTTGACTAAACCACACTGAACTGAATTAAACTGAACTGAAACTCTGAAAACTGAAGTGACGCTGTTTACATCCACTATAATCTTCTGTGTGAAGCTGCTTTGACACAATCTACATTGAATTAGCAATATACTAACAAACATGCTAGCAACATGCTAATTCAACCTATAAACATACTAGCAACATGCTAATTCAACAAATAAACATACTAGCAACATGCTAATTCATACTAGCAATATACTAGCAACATGCTAATTAATACTATAAACATACGAGCAACATGCTAATTCATACTAGCAATATACTAGCAACATGCTAATTAATACTATAAACATACTAGCAACATGCTAAATCATACTAAATTCATACTCACATATTATGCTAATTCTAGCAACTACTTGGTACACCTTAGGAACTACCTAGCGACATCTTAGCATCCACCTAGCAATGCCTTAGCAACCACCTTGCAACAACTTGGCAACCATCTAGCAATGCCTTTGCAACCGCCTAGCAACCACTCACAACACCCTAGCAACCACCTAAGCGACTGCCTAGTTATGCCTTAGCAACGGCCAAGCAACCACTCAGAACACCCTAGCAACCACCTAGCAACACCTTAGCAACCACATAGCAATGCCTTAATAAGCACCTAGCAACACCATATCAACTACCTAGCAACCAATTAGAACACCCTGGCAACCACCTAGCAACACCTTAGCATCGACCAAGAACACCTTAGCAACCACATAGTAACACCTTAGCAATGACTTAGAACACCGTAGCAACCAAGTAGCAAAACCTTAGCAAAGACTTAGAACACATTAGCCACTGCCTAGCAACCCCACAGAACATCCTAGCAACATCTTAGCAACAACCCAGAACACCTTTGCAACCGCCTAGCAACACCTTAGGAACCACCTAGCAATGCCTTAGCAACCACCTAGCAAAACCTTAGCAACCACTTAAACACCTTAGCAACCGCCTAGTAATGCCTTAACAATTGCCTAGCAACAACACAGAACATCCTAGCAACACCTTAGCGGCATCTAAGTGACTAACAAGCAACACCTTAGTAACCACCTAGCAACACCTTAGCAATGACCTAGAACACCTTAGCAATCGCTTAGCAACCCCATAGCAACACTATAGCAACCGCCTAGCAACCAATCCAGAACCCCCTATCAACTGTCTAGCAGGAAACAGGCCATTATAAACTAGAATGCAGTGATGACTGATTCAGACATCTTGAACTCTACACTGTCAGATCACAGAGCTTCAGTCTTGAACAAACATAAACCCTGAATCCAGGATAGAGTGTGTGTGTGAATGTGGTGTGGAGTGTGTGTATGAGGCTCATTGTTGTGTCAGAGACGCTGTAGAAGGACAGAGTTCCTGCACTGTGATCCACATACACTCCTATTCTAGAGCAGCTGACGGAGGGTTTACGGAGATCAGTCTTTATATTATTATGATAGAATATGAAACTGTGAGCAGAGCAGGACAAACTCCAGGACTGATCATTAAATCCAAACACACACTCATTACCCAAACCCTTCCTGCTGATGCTCTTATATGACACTGATATTTCCACATCCTCACCGCTCCACTCCAGCTCCCAGTAAGAGCGTCCACACACACTCTCTCTACACAACACCTGACGCCAACCATCAAATCTGTCTGGATGATCAGGATACGGCTGGACTGAACGTTTATTTTCCACCGCTGTGTTTCCTTCAGACAGAACCAGCCTGTTATACGCTGTGTTTGGATCCAAAGTGAACTGTTGAGAATCTGATGAAGATAAAAATCAGGAAAAATATCAATGAATTTCTGAGTGACAATAATGAAATCATGACTGTATTATTATTGATCTGTTTCAGTTCATCAGAATGTCTTTACTCTAATATTATTTGCACTTTTGCTGATTAAGAAACAAGAACTATGAATGTTTCAGTACATGTTCAACCCCAAACCAGAACACACTGGGACAGTATAGAAAAGGCGAATCAGGAAAGTGGAGATTTCTAAATGTTCTTTGACTTGTATTTCACTGCAGATGATAAAATAATCCTGATTTAATGTGTTCCTCATGACTTTTATTATTAATCACCAATTTCTGTTCCTGCAACACATTTAAATAAAGTTGTATCAGTAAAGCATTTATCAGTCTGTAATGTTGCCGTTCCTTTTCACAACACTTAAAGACGTTTAGAGACTGAAGACAGCAAGTGATGAAGAGTTTCAGGTGTCATTTTCCTCCTGCAAACAAATCTAAAGGTGTCTTAGGAAGGTTTCTACACAGAGTTGAATAAATGAGACTTTAACTAACCCAGTAAGATAAACTAGCTGTGTGATTATATCTAGAGCTGCTGATTCTGTAGAGTTCAGTGTGTTTAATGTAGATCAGGGTTGATTTGAGCAGTTCAGCACAGTTCAGTCTGATTGATGATATATGATAAGAATATATGGAAACGGCCACAAGAGCTCATTATAGGTGTTTCATTCTCAGTCAGCTCATTCAGGTTAATGGCTTTGAGCAAAACCCCGAAACCTCACACAACATCTCACTCATCAGAACGCTCTCGTCTCAGGAGCTCAGTGATATATTCCAGTGACATATGCTGGTTAATGCAAGTCCTGCAATCGTGATGATGAGCATTATAAGCGTGTGTGTTTTACTGTCTCCTGTTTACATGTGTGTGTGTGTGTGTGTGTGTGTGCTGTTTAGCCAGGTGAACATCACTACACGTGTTAAAGCTACTGTAGCAGCCCTTGGTGAGCGGAGTGAGGTGTGTAAGTTTTGTTTTGAAACTGTTAACTGAGCCAATTATTGTTTATCTGTGACTTTACACAGCTCATCTACTGTTCACTGTACACAAACGCCTGATCATGAACTGTAAAGGTGTCAGAGTTCATTATCAATCTGCTTTGTGCTGATTTGTGTGTTTACTTCTAGTTTTCACTGTTTCTGCTGGTTCCAGAATAAAACACATTACAGCCATCAGAGACTCTCTGCCTCATATGAAGGAATCCAACACAATATATAACTATAATCTTTAATGTTCAGTATGATCAGAGTCACTTACACTGGAGGAACTGCTCACGGGTCTGTGGTTCAGGAGCGGGAATCCTGCTAATGCTGCTCACTGTGGAGACAAACAGATGATTTACAGTAAACATTGTTAAACAATACAAATACATTTAAAATCATCTGAAACATGTCAGGAAATATAAATCTGACCTCTGCTAGATATGGTCTTCATCTCCTCAGTGCAGAACTGCTGCAGTTTGTCTCTCAGACGAGACACAGATTCAGCAAGTTGATCAAAAGCGAGCTGCGAGCTGCTAATAAAGCTGGATGAGTCTGTAGATCCAGGAGGGACAGAGAGAGACTGCAAACTCTACACAGACACAACAGAAACAGCAGCTGAAGACACACAAACACAATCTCTGCTCCACATGCTCTTCCACTGTCCTGTGTGTCACCTGGAGGAAATGGATGTGATCTTCTGTGTGTGAAAGCTGCTCCAGCTCAGCGTTTCTCCTCCTCAGATCATTGATCTCCTGCTCCAGTCGCTCCAGTCGTTCTTCAGCTCCACTCACTGCAGTCTTTTCTCCATCTCTGATCATCTGCGTGAGCTCCGAGCGGCTTCTCTCAATCCAGCAGATGAGCTGAGTGAAGATCCTCTCGGTGTGGTCCACTGCGGCCTGTGCAGAGCGCTGTCAGACACACACACACACACACACACACACACACACACACACACACACACACACACACACACACGCACACACACACAGAAGCATTGGAGTGTGAAAGGCCTCTTCAGCTGCTGTTCTTCTGCTCAAACTCACCTTGTGAGACTCCACAGCCTCTCTCAGCTCCTCCAGCTCCTTCTGTCTCTCCTGGAGTCTCTGCTGGAATCTGCTCTGGGTTTCCCTCAGCCGACTCTGCAGGATTCACAGTGAACAAGAGTTAAATAAACGTCACTGTAAAGCTGTAATAGTCAGAACTCAATGCATTTAGGCATGTAGACATGGTCAAGACGATCTGCAGCAACTGTGTGATGCTATCATGTCAATATGGAGCAAAATCTCTGAGGAATATTTCCAGTATCTTGTTGAATCTATGACATGAAGGATTAAGGCAGTTCTGAAGGCAAACGGGGTCCAACCCGGTACTAGTAAGGTGTACCTAATAAAGTGGCCGGTAACTGTGAATGTTTAATGCACATTTATCCATCATGTCATACCACTCAGCTCTTACAGTGGAAATAACAGCGATATACTTTTATTAAACGTCATCTGTTTATGCAGAGGTCGACATTAAACAGCTTAAAATAAAACTCTAAACACATCACTGCTGCTCCCAGAGTTCATTATGACTTAGCTTATATTTCATTCACAACAACCTGTTGATATAAAACACTGTTGAGCTCTGTGATGTAGAATCTGTAATGCTGTATTATTGGTGAATGTGGGATTTTACGGGGATTTAGTCAATTAAACAGTAATTCACTGAACACACTGTACTTTAGTCCCTCACAGGTGTTTTGATTCCTGTCAAACATTAATATGACACCACCCTGACCAAAGTCTATTACATGTGTCTGCTGGAGAGAAGATCAGAGAAACAGCTTTAAAAGTGGAGAAATGAAGAGACATTATTAATAATTGAGCATAAGTGTGTTCATACCTGTAGTTCAGTCCTCTCTGCTGCAGCTGAAACAGTGTCATGGTGTTTGTGTTGATCCAGCAAACACAGATAACAAATACAGCAGTGATCAGTGCGGCAGAAGATCTCCAGGAGTTTCTTGTGTTGAGGACAGATCATCTCCTGCAGTTTATGAGTGGCTTCAGTCACTTTGTGTCGATTTCCTTGGTGAATTTCTTGATGGCGCTGGAAATGAGTGTGACAGTAAGAGTTCAGACACACCAGACAGGACTTGACGGCTCTGTTTTTGGCTCCAGTACAGACGTCACACTCCACATCTCCAGATGCAGCGGGACTCTGAGCAGGACCAGCAGCTTGTAGTTTGCTCTTCTGCAGTTTCTCCAGCACTTCAGCCAGCATGGTGTTTTTAGCTAAAGCGGGTCTGGGGCTGAAGGTCTGTCTGCACTGAGGGCAGCTGTAGACTCTCTTCTGATCCTCCTGATTCCAGCAGTCTGTGATGCAGCTCATACAGTAACTGTGTCCACAGGGAATGGAGACTGGATCCTTCAGGAGATCCAGACACACCGCACAGCTGAAATGATGAGCCAAAGAAAGACTGGATTCTGCCATTTTACTGCTCAAACTCACAGACAGAGAGAGACACCGACACAACACACCCAACACTGGCTATTACTTTAGGTTTTTGAGTTTACTTTCGATTCCTCTCAGCTCTGACACTTCCTGTGTGCGTCATTATAAACTCCGCCACTAGAGGAAAATGCCTTGTCATGCTCTTATGAAATTAAGGTGATCATTTTCTGCTCTTTAAATTCATCTATTCGTTGATATATGCAGATTATTTATTAAGGAAATCGTAGTGAAACTTTTCTGTCAGTAATGAAGAATTATTAGAGATGGCAACATCCAAACGCGTGTGACAGGAAGACCAATCAGTTTTTTTATTGCATTATAACATAATTACAAGGCAAAATTCGAATAACAACTATCATCTAAATTTATAGAACAGAGCACAAATAATAAAGTCAATAAAATAATAATACTAAAAGATACTCTTAAACTATAGAATAGACACAAACAAAACTGAAAGAAAGAAAAAGAAAGAAAGAAAAAAACATTTACAACGGTTCTTCTATTAATTTACTTTTTTTTTTTTTCAATAAACTAAACAGTCTTCTTCCACATTTTATAGCCAAAATTCCTTCTGGACAACTAACAATAGTGGTTTTGTTTTAAGGCTCTTGGATTTATGAATATAAAATTTCCCCAAAATTAGAATATTGTTCAATACAAAGTGAGTATTAACATCTTTCCCTGATAGACCAAAGAAAATTGGGAGGACAACTGGAGAGAAATCTTTAACCGCTCGAATGAATCAGACCAGAAGGTTCTGCTATATAAACATTCAAAATAAATAAATGTGCAGTTGTTTATATGTCAACCTCACAGAATGTTCAATTGTTTTGATTAAAATAAAATCTGTCAAAGAAACTCTGAAGATGGGTAAATATCATTAAAAAATTTAAAATGTACTTCTTTAGCTTTGGGAGGTTTTGGGAAGGAAAGAAACATTGTTCTTAATTCAATAATAGAGCTCTTGGAAAAAAGAAAAACATTATTTCTATTAGCTTGTATTAAACAGTTTTCATTCATTCATTTTCTTTTCAGCTTAGTCCTTTTATTAATCTGGGATCACCACAGCGAAATGAACCGCCAACTTATCCAGCATGTTTTTATTCAGTGGATGCTCTTCCTACATCTACATACACACTCACTCACACTCTTACACTATGGACAATTTTGACTACCCAATTCACCTGTACCGCATGTGTTTGGACTGTGGGGTAAACCGGAGCACCCAGAGGAATCCCACGCCAACACAGGGAGAACATGCAAACTCCACACAGAAACACCAACTGACTCAGCCGAGGCTCGAACCAGCGACCTTCTTGCACTACCTACTGCGCCACTGCGTCGCCTACTGGCAAATATTAGGATATAAATCTCTCTAGGGGTCATACAGGCCAAAACAACTACAAAAATGACCCACCATAGAATTGTAATGATGACTTTTAAATTTTGAGGGAAAAAGATCCAGCAGTCATCTTGAACCATATTAAAGTCACCCCCTAATGTAACATTATCTGTAGAAAATGCAAGTTTTAGATCCATAATAACTTCCGATACTTCCAATAACAATTCCTTGTTTAGATTAATACGATTGTAATCATATATATATTACCTATTATGATAAACAGGTCATCAAGGTTGAGCACACAGACAATTCATTCTCGCTACATTACTGTATTTTTGCAGGTAAATTTAATAATAAAATGGCAACTCCAGCCGAGCGATTTGTTCCATGCCTAAAAATAATTGTATCCCCCCACTGATTAGACCAGAATTTCCAATCTGCACAACTCGAGTGCGTAACTACAACTTCTGAACACAAATGATGAATAAAATCAGGTTTAATTCATTCATTTTCTTGTCGGCTTAGTGCCTTTACTAATCCGGGGTCGCCACAGCGGAATGAACCGCCAACTTATCCAGCAAGTTTTTACGCAGTGGATGCCCTTCCAGCCGCAACCCATCTCAGGGAAACATCCACACACACTCATTTACACACACACTCATACACTACGTACAATTTAGCCTACCCAATTCACCTGTACCACATGTCTTTAGATTGTGGGGGAAACCGAAGCACCCGGAGGAAACCCACGCTAAGGCAGGGAGAACATGCAAACTCCACACAGAAATACCAACTGAGCCGAGGTTTGAACCAGCGACCTTCTTGCTATGAGGCGACAGCACCACCTACTGCGAATTGAACTGAATTGAACTGCCTCGCCCCTCGAGTGCGTTTCTTGTAACATAAAACAGTGTGCCTCTTTGCTTTTACAAAAAGAAAAAGAGCTTTACGTTTCACATTATCTCGAAGACCCCTAACATTAAACGAAGAAACACTGAAATTAGCTTATATCAGAACAAGAACAATATGGTGAATAAAATCAGTAACCTTGCTGAAACGAAGTAACCTACTTTGATGTCTCTTTATCAGTCATTAATAGCTTTCTTATCTTGTCAGAGAAAAAAGTCCATAATACAGTCATGACGCAGAGATTCTTTTTCCGTTGATGTAGCCAAACGGACCTCTGAAATGACCCACATCTCTTGCCTGCTTAATCTGGGGCCAAAGTAATGCTCTTGCATCTCTGTATTCTGCCAAAATGTGCTCGGCAAAATAAATATTCAAATCCTTGCACACTGTAAAATTCTTGGTAAGACGCCAGAATTCATCCCTGTAATGCCTCATGGTGAACTGGATAACCACCTGTCGGTTTAGCCCCATCTCCTTCTTTCCTAAACGATGTACCGAGTTCACCATACTCTCCAATTTTGTGGTTCATTGTGGAATGATCTTTGTCATAATCTCAAGCACAACATCCCGTGTTTTTTCTTCCGTTTCCTCCTTTAGGCCATGAAGTTTGAGATTCCAGCACCGGTTGTAACGTTCCAGCTCCTGTACATGTAGCGGACTTCATCCCTTACCACAAAGAATTCACTGACACCACTGGCTTTGGTGGATCACGTCTGGAGTTTATTAAAGTCAGGACAGTGATTAACACCACACAAGACACACTTTCAGCTCTCTGTTCTGTCTCACTTCAGTCCAAATCAGTTCTTATTTAACAAACTCTTTTGACATCAAATCATTTGTTTCTCTTTTCTTTAAACACACAATAAACGTCACATACACACAAACTTGCATAACGTATCAATAATAATATACATAAATAATATTATATATTAATAAGTAACCTTTATATTTCTACATATAATCTCATACATTGAAAATAAAGACGATTATTTCAGTCTATTGATCGTATAGTGGTTATTATTTTGTTACAATTACATACCTGGGGTCCGTTCTTCGTACCTCGCTTAAATGATCTAAGATGATTTTGCCGATCCTGGATCTTTTAATCTGGATAACTGATCTCTCGCTAATTTAGCTCTTTAAACAAGTTTGCGAATCAGATTAGAATGTCTGGATGAACTGATCTGAGGTCGCTGTGTGTGTTGTGAAGGACAGATTTATCGATCCTCAATCATGATCAGCAATTGGCTGACTGCACAGCAGCGTAATGACATCATCAAGAGTATTCATCATGTATTTCAGTGCATATCAGTGTATTTAGTTCTACATTTAGAAAAGATTCTTTTTATTATAGTAGCCGTTTTTTTAATCGCTGTATGGATCAACTGGATGTTTACAAAAGCATTTTGATATTGGTAAAGGCGTCTGCAACTGTTGTGAAGCATCAAATCACTGGCGTATTAACTTTTAAAACATGTTCATGACTGCATAAATGTATTATTTCTTTTTTTTAAAAAGTCACATATTCTGCATTTCTATTATCATACACAAATTGTACTAAAGTGATCTAAAAAGTTCATATCAATAAATTTTCTCTTTGTACTTTCATTTTGAGGGTGCAGATTGCATAAATTTTGTTATTAGAACTTTATTTATTTTATTAATAACTATAACTTTATATATATAGTTAATTTTTGTTTTACTATTTTCCCAAGTGTATATAACTACTACTGTAAGAAAATATCATAATTCGGTACTTTCTGTATTATCTTTGCTTGAACTGAGCCGATCTAATCCGGTTTATATGAATTGAACCTGCTTCCAATCAGGTTTGAGCTAGCAGAACTGTTGCTATGACAACAGCTCTCAGATCAGCTTTGAAGAACGAAACGATCCTGGATCATGTCAAATCGTCAATATCCAAATCCAGCTGAGTAAGAATGGACCCCTGGAGTTTATTAAAGACAGGACAGTGATTAACACCACACAAGACACACTTTCAGCTCTCAGTTCTGTGAGAGTTGCAAAAAGAAAGAAAAGTGAACCGCTGTCCCCATTAACACTGAAGCAGATTACCAAAGACAAATGACTACAAAGACACAAACTGGACATAACATGACAATATCTTTGGACAATTTTAACTGCATGCCGATTTCACAGACATAATCCACCCTTTTTTTACTGTTTAAAAAGCAAAATCGTCAGGAAAGGAATATATAAGCCGCCATTAAAAAAATTGGCGCGGGCGGCAAATTGAAACAAGGCCATAACAGCTTATAACATCAAAACTCACTTTATACTAAAAAATAATGCTTAACAAGGACACTATGACTCAATCCATCATTAAGACATGTCATCCACTGATATAAACAAACATTTTAACCTAATCAACTATATTTTAACCTTTTATCACTGAGCTCATTCACATCATACCTGTCTCACTCAGGTCCAAATCAGTTCTGACCATAGATATATACACTAGATATCGCATAGGGACCCTGAGCATGCGTCAATAGCGCCGCCACATTGGTACAGTGCTCCCAGGAAAATGTCATTCAACCGCACTAGCCAAGACAGTGTTACGTGAAGATGCGGGACTTTAGCGCTGTCTACGGGTGTAGAGCAAACAAAGAAAACAAAGCACAAAGGCAGAACATTTCATAGGTAATATTAAGTTTTTTTTCGGTTTTTGTATGTTCTGAACTTTTGTGCTAATCAGGAAACGTTATTGATGATAACAGTCTCTTACTGCATTCACCATACAGCAAAGCAGCTCCAACTCGCACTAAACAC